AACCCTCCAAAGGTGTTTCAATCATCCCTGTTCCTTCAGCACACCTTGGCTTGCCTTCTGCAGTTGCCAAGAAACAATAAAGCAAACACCAACCCCCGGCTGCAAAAAGAAAAGAAAAGGGCTGTTCTCCTAGCCCTCCCCAACCCGCCCTACCCCTCCCATCATAAAAACCCAGCAACGTTGGCATCTTTGGAATGACTCTGCCTCTCACCTGAGGCACTTTGGGGAGGTGGTCTGCCTCCAGGAAGGAGGAGACCCTTCTAAAACTGCCCCAGTCCCCTCGAATCTCAACCTCATTAGCCACTTAGAAATACACAACACACACTCCCCGCCCACAAACTGCCAGCTCCCAAGAAATCCCCCCCCCTCCACAATACACACACACTGATGTCCAGCCAGTGATGCCAATTTTAAGCTGGGGTTCCCCTTAATTGTCCTACGTGGGGAAGGGGGCAACTGCTTATGGCAATGAATCATTTCCAAATGGGCCCAGGCAGAGGGAAGATATTGCACCTGCCTCTCCCGTGACCTTTGCTCTCTAGCTGCCAATCACCACCATGGCAAGTTGCCAGGGAAACTGAGACATCTCTCCCTCCCCCGCACCTTCCTCCCCCCCCCTCTCCATCCAGAGTGCATGAATGGCCTTGGAGGAGCAATTATCTATATTCGCTTCTCTGCCTTTGTTATGGGGCAAGGCGGTTGGGGGCAGGTTTTATTCACTGGAGGGAACTGAAACAAAAAACAGCCTCTTCAGAGTCCCTGAGGGTGTGTGTGTGTGAGAGAGAGAGAGAGAGAAAGAAAGAGCATGAGAGAGAGAGAGTGTGCATGAGAGAGGGGGGGGCATGAGAGAGAGAGAGAGAGAGAGAGAGAGCGCATAAGAGAGAAAGAAAAATATCAACTCCATGGTGAATCCAGCATCTTCCTGGCGACTGCTTTTTTAAGCAAGGGTCTCTCTCCAAACATGTTTCCAAAACAGATTGTACCCATAAAAGAACCACATTGTGTACAAAAGAACACAAGCCACAACATGGGAGCGGGAGAGGGGCTGAAAGCCTCACAATTTTTCAGGAAGTTGCTGAAAGGCGTCGAGCTGCTAAGGATGGAGATCAGCAGACATCTTGACAAGAGAGCATTCTGTATATAATTGTGGAAAAACAACTGTCCTGGATGCACCTAAACATCTGTCGGGCTACTGTAACATAGAATGTTTTTTTAATTATGATTTTTTCTTTCTTTAACATCCATAAGTACCTGGTGAACAATGTCATGTCTGGGTCAATATATATCATAAACAATTCTGATAAAGCTATTGCCATTTAAATATACATCATCGTAATTTTTCAACTTCTAAGATTTGTGTATACCTAGCAATTATAATATGTTCTATTATATTTCAATATACATAATGCTATTTTCCCAATTTCTATTTTCTACTTCTTTTTTCTAAGACAATAAAACAACCACCATGTTAAACATCTGTCAGGGTAATGTAACGTAGAAAATTATGGTTCCATATAACTCCCAGCCGCTTTAGAAATTGTCACATTGTGTGTATGTGTGTGTGTGTGTGTGTGTGTGTACATATATATATATATAGTGTGACATGTAAATATATATATTTGGAGCAGGACAAATTTGGAACAGATTAACAAGCATCTTCTCTATACAGGTACTCCTTGATTTAAAACAGTTCATTTTGTGACCAAAGTTCACAACGGCCATAATCGGGTGATCAAAATTCACATGCTTGGCCACTGACTCGTATTTATGACAGTTGCAGTGTCCCTGGGGTCATGTGATCCCCTTTTGCATCCTTCTGACAAGTAAAGTCAATACGGAAGCCAGATCCACTTGTTACTAGATTAACAGAAATAAACAGATTAACAGATAATCAGAGTTGGGATGGCCCTTGTAGGTCATCTAGTCCAACCCCCCACCCAAGAGCAAGACCCTAACCCTACTTACAACTGCAGTGAATCACTTAACAACTGTGGCAAGAAAGGTGGTAAAATGGGGCCCACTCACTTAACAAGCATCTCACTTAACAACAGAAATTTGGGGCTGAACTGTGGTCGTAAGTCAAGGACTACCTGTGCACTGACTATAATCATGTGGACTGAAATATTCAAGTCCAGAAATTGAACAACCCAGCATTTTCTTTCAAGCCCTTTGCCTGATGCTGATGGTGCAAAGGAATAGCGACCTTGAGGTCAGAAAGAGCATCGGCCCATTTCCATCGCTATGCAAGACAGTTGTAAAGTGAGTCGTGCCTGATTTTGCCATGCTTGTTAAGTGAATCACTGCAGCTGTTAAGTGACTCACACAAGATTAAGTGAACCCAGCTTGTCAGAAGCCAGCTAGGAAAAGTCATAAATGGATGCTGCAACTTGGATGCTGCATCCTTCGTAAATATACAGCCATAGTGCCAGGATAGTGATTTAAGAGCTGACCAACTGCTGCAATGATGCAATGGTGGAAATGAGTCAGCAAGGTTTTTGGCTGTTATCCCTTTAAGAGCCTGTTCTTCCCTACTGTAATTGCTGCTTCTTTGACCTCTGTAATTGCCTATAGTATGCGTATGCATAGTATATATTCTTTTTTAGATAAAAACCACTATTTATTACAAACCTCTGTTTGCTGTTATTGCTCCTGGGTTGTCTCACGTAGTAAAGCTGTGCACACTCTGATACATAGCACTAGCACTTATTTATATACTGCTTCACAACGCTTTACAGCCCTCTCTAAATGGTTTTACAGAGTCAGCCTCTTGCCCCCAACAATCCGGGTCCTCATTTTACCCACCTCGGAAGGACCCACCTGAATCAACCTGAAGCCGGTCAGGATCAAACTGCGGACAGCCACCAAAGAGTTAACCTGCAATACTGCATTCTAACTACTGCGCCACTATGGCCACCAATATATGTTGGTTGCCCAAATGCCTGAATTTTGCTCATGTGACCTATTGCTGTGATAGTCATCAGTGCGAGGACTGGTCGTAAGGTACTTTTTTTCAATGCTATTGTAATATTCTCTAAATGAATAATCGTAAGATAAGAACGGCTTGTATTTTGCTTGGCCTATGGAACTTGACCCTGTGTACATATTATTGCTGAACCAGCATCTGCGTATTATGAGAATTACAGTCCTAGACAGCTTGGCAGACAAGATTGGCCGAGAGTCCAGAGCACTTTAGGGCATTAGAGATTAAAAGCTATACTATTTTCTTTAAGCATAAGTAGCGGCTCCTGTAAAAATGAGGCCTGCATGAAAACGTGGCGTGCCAAGAACAATACCTTCCTGGCATAATTAGATTGCCACTTCAAACCTCTGTTGGTTAATGAGCCCCTGCAAGAAAAAACCTGAAGGCATTAAGATCTGTTTAGCCTTAAAAAGAGATTATTAAGAGGCAACATGTTAGCGAAAATACCTGAAGTATTGGCCTCCTCTAACAAGACTCCAGAGCATTGAATTCAAATCCCATGGGAAATGAAGAAGAAAAGGGTTTGACTTAGCTCTTATAAAAACTTCTTTAACATCCAAACAATTCAGCAGTGAACCAGTTTGGTGCCTTGGTTAAAGGCACCAGGCTAGAACCTGGGAGTCCATGCATTCTAGTCCTTCCTTGGCCACCTGGATGGCTTTGAACCAGTCCACCCATCTCTCTCTCAGCTCTAGGAAGAATATTTCTAATAATCGTCACTAAGAAAATTGCACAGACTTCAGTAAATATTGACTCAATCACTCACATACAGAGAAACAAACTGATTAAAAATAAATTTATGTATTTCAGGGGGGAAACTGTTTATATTTGTATTTAACTGGGACACGAACAGGATTGGCAAACCCATAGCCTACTTAATTGTGGACTTGCAGGATTCAGTTTTAATCTGGAAAAGATCTACGCTGTTTTAAATTAAATACTCTCCCCTGGTCAACCATGTCGGGCAAACATGGAAGAGAGAGTTAACTTCTTCCTGCGGGCAGAGAAATGTAGATACAGAGCAATCCTGCAAAAATGGGGCTTTTCTAGGTATCCTGCCTCTACTGTTATTTTTTATCTCTACCCCTCTGGCCACATGGGAGGACTGAACATTGGAGAAGTAAGATGGGTAAGGAGACTTTGCGTTGCTGGTAACAGTTGAATCGTTGTACATGCTTAACCCCGGCAATTAAAATACTGTGGCAGCTGAGATCCTAACAAAGAGGCTTCATTTGCTTGGGACAGCTGTGATCATGCATCCCCAGTCCATGAAGTTATTTTCTGCAGAAGCGCTGCTAACTGGGCCAGATGTGGAATATGAGAAGATAATCACCATAACTATGTAGTTTAGCTCCTAACTCTAACAATCTTAAGAGTCCAACAATCCAACAATAAACAAACTCCAGGTTTAGGAATACATTAGGCCATCCTAACGGAACTACAACCCAGGTGTGTGGAGCACACATTTTCCATGAAGAAAGCCCCAGGTTTCAGTAGTGACAACTCCAATTAAGAGCTCTTAGATGGGAAGCCAGGGGGCATGATGGCTCTGGCGTTAAAGATACTGAGTTTATCAGTTAGAAAGCTGACCGCCTGGGTTTGAGACCCGAATGCTATGTGATGGAGGGAGTTCCCATTACTTGCCTCAGCTGCTGCCCACCTTGCAGTTTGAAAGCATACAAATGCGAGTAGATAAATAGGTATCACTTGGGTGGGAAGGTAACAGCATTCTGTGCACCTTGGTGTATAGTCATGCTGGCCACAGGACCATGGAAGTGTCTTTGGACAACAGTGGCTCCCTTGGCTAAAAAATGGAAATAAGCACCACCCCCTAAAGTTGGACACAACTGGGCAGGAGGCACCTTTATCTCTACCTTTACCTTTAGATTGAAATTCATAGCTAGGAACCTGGCCTTACAAAGTTAACGCCAATAAGAGTCAACTGTAATCATATCAAAAGCAGCACCATAGTCCAAGACCTCAATCTCCTGTCCCCCATCTATCCATAATTCTCCTATACCTGTTCATACATTGCCTTGGATCTTAAAGCAGATTCCAGTTGTTCTGCTCCGATTGTGTAGATGGCCGAGCGATACTGTGTGCCAAAGTCTTCATACTGCTTCATTCCTGGGGGAAATGAGACCACAACAAGGCATGTTATCAGACAGAAGATGACCAAACTGATTCATATTGTCCCACTTCAACCTTAGTAATAAACAGTTGCAGGGGAAAAGGTGTTATTATCCTTGAGTATTTCCATTTTATCCATTTCATTAATGGAAAGAGACAGAAATTGTAGTGTAGAAGATAGATCAGTGGTCTGACTGCATAGAAAAATAACTTTTTTTTTTATTCTGAGGTTCCTCCCATATTTAGGGACTAGGATTTCAAAGATCATCTAATTTTGATTTTGGTATCCATATCCAATATTTCTTTCCTGGGAAAATATCCGTGACCACTAAGTTCAGAATGGCAATTTCCAAAGTGGCAACATACGTAGTTCATATACTTGCTAGTATGACTTATAAGTATGACTTCAGCAAAAATGCCAAGTTTTCTCCAAGAATTAAATATCAAAGACAAAAGATATCCTATCGCATTTACAGAAAAAAACATTCTGGATCAATAAACTCTTGAATTTGCTGAACCCTGATCCAGAAAATGTTTCCCGAGAATAAGATACCACAGGACTTCACTGTTTTGATCACTGCAAAAGCAGAGGTGGTATTCAGCAGGTTTGACTAGTTCTGGAGAACCAGTAGTGGAAATTTGGAGTAGTTTGGAGAACCGGCAAATCCCGCCTCTGACTGGCCCTATCCTCATCTATTCTCCACCTCCCGAGTCCCAGCTGATTGGCTGGGCATCCTTTTGTTCCCCTGCACAGGAGAACGGAGCTGGAAAGCAGGTTAGTGGGGTGGGGAGGGAAGGGGGATTTTGCAGTATCCCTTCTGTGCTATCCAGACAGTATATAGGTAATGGGAATTGAGATAGTTAAGTTAGAATTGGGAGCTGTCCCCTTAAGGGAATGCCTCATGGTAAATGTAGTTAATACATCCTGGGGAATGTAGTTCATGTCATGTGGTCACATCTGTAATCCTGATTGGTCACTGAATTGACCCTTGGTTGGGTTGGGGGAGGTTCCTTCACTCTTGCCTGGACCCCAGCAGAGTGCTAGTGCCTCACCCCCCTTGTTCCTTCGTTATGGGATGAAAAGATCACTACTCTTTCACATTATGAAGATGACTATGCAAAGACTTGGACATTGAGATGAATCTCGACAAAACCGTGAGCTATATTTGAGGATGCCGGGTGAACCAATAAAGAAACTTTGTACAGAAGCCTTTGTAGAGTTTAATCTGCCTGCTTTTATATTCAGATAGTGATTAAAGGACAGAACACTTCCCCTGCCAGCCCACCAAGCCACACCCATCAAGCCATGCCACGCCCACCAAGCCACGCCCACAGAACTGGTAGTAAAAAGTTTTGAATCCCACCACTGTGCAAAAGGTGAACATCTAAAAGGGAATCTGCACTTTACAATAATATGCAAAAACTTCAAGAGCAAATATAAAAATATAAGTAGTCCTCAACTTACAACATTCATTTAGTGACTATTCAAAGTTAGAACGGCACTGAAAAAAGTGACATGATTGTTTTTCACGCTTATAACTATTGCAGCAGCCCCAGGGTTAGGTGATCAAAATTCAGGTGCTTGGCAACTGACTCATATTTATGACGGTTGCAGTATTCCAGGGGTCATGTGATCCCCTTTTGCGACTTTCTGAGAAGCAAAGTTAATGAGGGAGCCAGAATCACTAAACAACCCTGTGACTAATTTAACAACTGCAGCGCTTCACTTAACAACGGGGGCAAGAAAGGTCATTAAAATGGGGCAGAACTCACTTAACAACTCTCTCACTTAGCAATGGAAATGTTGGACTCAATTGTGGTCAAAAGTCAAGGACTTACACGTAAAACAGGAATAGCAATAGCACTTAGACTTATACACCGCTTTATAGTGCTTTACAGCCCTTTCTAAGCAGTTTTTACAGAGTCAGCCTATTGCCCCCAACTATCTGGGTCCTCATTTGACCCACCTCAGAAGGAGGGAAGGCGGAGTCAACCTTGAGCCTGGTGGGATTCGATCTGCCAAATTTCAGGCAGCCGGCAGTCAGCAGAAGTAGCTTGCATTACTGCACTCTGACCACTGTGCCACTGAGGAATCATACTAATGCAACAAAAGAGGTAATATTATAACCACCAGCATCATTCACTCATAAGCCCAGATGGTCCATCCTCAGAATCCCTTTACTATCAGTGGATGAGTCTTAAATCTTAATCCCGATTTGAGGGCAGCGATGGAAAAAGCCTGTCTGAAGAGGAGCTCTTAGTAATATGTGGGTGAGAAGAGTTGGTTTCCCTTCTCAACCAGCTGGATGCCAGGGAAGGAATGGACTCTCCTGTCAGCTGCCATCACTGAGGGCTTATAATATGTATGTCATCGTTCCAAGTAACAACCTCCAGAGAAAAAGACTCTGAGAATATCATCTTCCCAAAGATCCATTTTATGAGAGATGTTATATTGTCACATCTGGGGAAAACCCGAATCACTGTGCATGTGCGCGTGATTCCCTGCTGCTGCCCTTTTACCTGCACTGCGCCTCCCAGCTGATTTTTGACCTATTTGAGGCCTTTTTCAGACTGCCAGAGGCTTGAGGGATGCATCTGCAGGCTTTGCAGGCCAAAAAACGGGCCCGTTTCGTCACTTCAGGTATTTCCAGAAATACAGGAAGTGATGAAACAGGCCTATTTTTCGGCCTGCAAAGCCTGCGGAGGCATCCCTCAAGCCTCTGGCAGGCCGAAAAAGTCCCAAAAATCAGCTGGGAGGCACGCGCAGTGAGGTGAGTTTGCCTGGGGCTCGTGTGCCCGCACAAATGGCTCTGCATGCCATCACGGGTCTAGATTATTGAAGAGAAGGACTGGAAGTGGGGACATGATAGCAGTCTTCCAGTACTTGAGGGGTTGTCACAGAGAAGAGGGGATTGACTTATTCTCCAAAGTACCAGAGGGCAAAACAAGAAATAATAGGTGGAAGCTTGTTAAAAAAAGATTCAACCTAGAAGTAAGGAGAAATTTTCTGACAGTGAGAATAATTAACCCGTAGAATAGCTGGTCTCCTAGGACTGTGGGTGCTCCATCACTGAAGGTTTTCAAAGATAGACTAGACAGCCATCTGAGTGGGATGCTGTAAGCTTTCTGCCTTCAGCAGGGGGTTGGACTAGAAGACCTCTGAGGTCCCTTGCAGCCTTATGATTCTATATTCTATAAAGGTCCTTTGAAATGAGGTCAGTTGCTCTACTCATGAACCTATGAGTTAAGGTTATGAAATTTGAGCCTTAAAAAGCTAAAGGTAAAAGTAAATATTCCCCTCGCACATATGTGCTAGTCGTTTCTGGCTCTAGGGGGTGCTGTTCATCTCCGTTACAAAGCCGAAGAGCCAGCACTGTCCAAAGACCACTGTCTCCGTGGTCATGTGGCTGGCATGACTAAATGCCGAAGGCGCATGGAATGCTGTTACCTTCCCACCAAAGGGGTCCCTATTTTTCTACTTGCATTTTTTATGTGCTTTCGAACTGCCAGGTTGACAGAAGCTGGGACAAGTAACGGGAGCTCACTCCATTACGCAGTGCTAGGGATTCGAACCGCCAAACTGCCAACCTTTCTGATCGACAAACTCAGTGACCATAAGGAAAATAAAAAATAAAATAAAAATATAATAAAAATAAAAAGCTACACAAGGTTAAATATGAACACAACCAGCACAAATGGGAGAACACTACAAAGTCCCAGGATTGTAGGCTAGACCAGTACCCAATTCCTGGTCCGTGGACTGGCACACGCCCACGGCATGCCAACGTCCAGATTCCGCAAACAACTGAAGTCCCATTCGTGGGATGCAGACAAAACCACACCCCCTCCAGTCTGTGGAAAAACTTTTCTCCATGATGGGACCAATCCCTGGTGCCCAAAAGGTTGGGTGCCACTGGACTACAGAGTCCAGATGTAAACAGCAGCATGTAGCAGCTGCCAAAAAAGCCAACACAATTCTAGGCTGCATAAACAGAGGGATAGAATCAAGAGCACGTGAAGTGTTAGTACCACTTGATGGTAAGGCCATACTTGGAATACGGCATTCAGTTTTGGTCGCTACGATGTAAAAAAGATGTTGAGGCTCTAGAAAGAGTGCAGAGAAGAGCAACCAAGATGATTTGGGGACTGGAGGCTAAAACATATGAAGAACAGTTGCAGGAACTGGGTATGTCTATAGTTTAATGAAAAGAAGGACTAGGGGAGGCATGATAGCAGTGATCTGATATCTCAGGGGCTGCCACAAAGAAGAACGAGTCAAGCTATTCTCCAAAGCTATACTTCCAAACAAGGCTTTTATCTTGCAATCTCCAAGAATCACCTTGCAATCTCCAAGGATTTTAGGAAGGACAGCAAAGATGGTACCATGCTATTCTCCAAAGCAGCTGAAGGCAGGACAAGAAGCAAAGGGGGGAGACTGATCAGGGAGAGAAGCAACCTAGAACTAAGGAGAAATTTCCTGATAGTTAGAACAATTAATCAGTGGAATGACTCGCCTCCAGAAGTTGTAGGTGGTCCATCACTGGAGGTTTTTAAGAAGAAATTGGACAGCCACTTGTCTGAAATGGTATAAGCAGAGATGGTATTCAGCAGGTTCCGACCAGTTCTGGATAACCGGTAGTGGAAATTTTGAGTTGTTCGGAGAACCAGCAAATCCCACCTCTTACTGGCCCCGTCCCCATTGATTCTCTGCCTCCCATTGAGTCCCAGCTGATCGGAGAACGGAGCTGGAAAGCAGGTTAATGGGATGGGAGCATTCACAACTTGCCTCCAGAAGTTGTGAATGCTCCAACACTGGAAGTTTTTTACAAAGAGGTTGGATAACCCATTGGTCTGAAATGGTGTAGGGTTTCCTGTCTAAGCAGGGGGCTGGACTAGAAGACCTCCAAGGTCCCTTCCAACTCTTGTTATTCTCTTCTATTCTAAACCAAAAAGCTCAGGAGAAGGCAGTGGCAAACCCATTTCTTAATTATGGCAAAGAAAAATAAAATTGCCTGGATGTAGCCATGTAAGTCACCCGGGGGGTGGGGGGTGGGTGGGGTGGGGGTGTCAAGCTTGACTTCAAGGAAATCTCATCTCTTTCTTTTGTGCCTGACAATGTCACGAAGGGAGAGCAATGATCCTCCGCTCTGAGGCATCTCTTCTTTTGAAATCTAGCACACAATGACTGTGTGTGTGTGAGGGGGAGCGGGGCTGACTTCCTCCCTCCCCACGTGCTCACGTCCCTAATATCTACACCAGCCACGTTACTCATTAAAACACAAACACACCATTACACACCCAGAGGAGGGCCCAGCCGGCAACACACAGAGAATGCTAATTTCCTCATTAAAATTACACTTCATTACAAAAATGCTCGGTCTTCCTAAGGCCTTCCACCATCCCCCCCCCCCCCCCCCCCCCCCCCCCCCCCCTTGTTGCTCAGTGTTGACGTGAGGTGGGTTACAAACAGCCCTCCGCTTCCTCTGGTTATTAAAAAAAAAACAAAGGGGGGGGGAAACATTAGCAATACCCAGTCCCCTACCCCTTCTTTACAACTGAATTCTCAGCAGAGCTTCTTCCCCTTTTGTGGCCTTGGTGGGCCGGGGAAGTGGGAGAAGCCATTTAAAAAGGAGTCCTTGAAAGAGATACAGTAGCCTGAAAAATGAGGTTGCCTTACAAAAACCAAGAGGAGTATGTGTGATTCCTGAAGAGAGAAAAACAAAACAAACAAACCTCCGTCTCAGGAGTCAGGAGTGAGTTAGGCCGGAGGAAATTAGATATTCTTTGGCTGGAACCGTCAAATGACTCAGCAAACGAATGGGGGAAAAAGAAACGGCACGAAGAAGAAGAAGACGGTTAACTCCACTCAAGGAGCTGTACAGGGTTTTCAATCATTCGTTTTAGTGACAATACCGTAACGGCATTGGGGGAAAAAAAGTGACTTATGGCCATTTTTCACCCTTATGACCGGAGAGGCATTACCCATGGTCACGTGATCAACATTTGGGCAAACGGCATGTGTTTATGATGGTTTTAGTCAGTGGTAGGATTGAAAAAAAATTGTACTACCAGTTCTGTGGGCGTGGCTTGGTGGGGTGCCATGGTTTGGTGAGTGTGGCTTGGTGAGCGTGGCAAGGGAAGAAGATTACTGCAAAATCCCCATTCCCTCCCCACCCCACTAACCTACTTTCCAGTTCCGTTCTCCTGTGCAGGGCAACCAAAGAAGACCCAGCCAATCAGCTGGGACTCAATGGGAGGAAGAGAAGAGATGGGGGCAGGGCAGTAGTGGGATCCATTTTTTTTAACTACCGGTTCTGTGGACCTGGTTTGGTGGGCGTGGCAGGGGAAGGATACTGTAAACTCTCCATTCCCTCCCCACTCCTGAGGGACGGTTACCGCAGAATCTCTATTCCCTCCCCACCCCACTAACCTGCTTTCCAGCTCCATTCTCCTATTCAGGGCAACCAAAGGATAGATGGGGGCGGGGCCCAGTCAGAGGTGGGATTGGCCGGTTCTCTGAACCAATCACAATGTCCGCTACAAGTTCCCCAGAACTGGTCAGAATGGTCAGAATTGCTGAATACCACCTCTGGTTGCAGTATCACAGGGTCATCCAATACTCTTTTGCGACCCTCAGACAAGCAAAGTCAACGGGGAAGCCAGATTCACTTAACAACCGTGTTACTAACATGTTACACTTAATAACCAGGTTACAGCAGTGGTGATTCACTTAACAACTGGGGCAAGAAAGGTTCACAAAGGAGGGAAGCACTCACTAAAAATTTTGGGCTGAATTGTGGTCATAAACCGAGGATTACCTGTATTCAAAATACCCAAGCAGCTTTCCCTTCAGGCATGACATCTCTGTAGAACTGTGTCTCTGCAGCATTAGAGATGTTCAGGCTAACCAGAAGCAAGCAATTTTTAGTCTCTAAAGCTTCCCATCCTTAGCCCACCTCGCTCAATTTAACATACTCCGCATGCAGGTAGAACAAGAAATCCTTTTTTATCAGGAGAACAATCTTGATTATTAGGACTGAATCTGACTTTTCCGATGGGAATTCAATATTTTGGGGGAATACAATACAGATTTCACATGTCTGCCTTTCCAAAACGGTGGGAAGTCATGACATTGATTTTCAGCAACAGAAAAACTTACTGGTGAAATTGGAGGGAACTCCACCACAAGAGAATTATTTTCAGAGTATGGGTTTAATACACCCATAAACTGACCAAGCTTAAATGAAACAGGCCTTTGATCGGTCCAGGTGCAGCAGTGTTTAAAACAGTGTTTAAGCATCTAAAAATATATTAGAATCCTATTAATATAAAATCATAGAACTAAGAAAGGCAAAACCCCATCAATAGGTTCAAAAGACATGAGAAAATTGAGAATCAAATATGAAAAGACAGCAAGAATGTACTATAGTGTGCAAACACACATAGTCATCACATACTAAATTATGTTCTTCCTTCTTCAGTACATTGTTATAGCAGTCTTGTTTCCTATAAGTCAGTCTACAATTCTTCCTTCCCAGCCACCATGGCTGTTGATAATCTATAAATTACAGTCTTCCATAATTGATCTGGGTGGTTGAAGAATCATAGGGGCTGTAATCCAAGAAACTGCAGGGTACCGTAGAAGCAAAGCTGCCTCAGGATTACTTGCAAACATAATTCCTCTTGATTTGCTAGAGCGGTGTTTCTCAACCATGGCAACTTGAAGAAGTGTGGACTTCAACTCCCAGAATTCTGGGAGTTGGGGAAGGTTATCTTATGTAGTTCCATATAAAATAGGTCTTTGAAGAATTCTGGGAATTTAAGTCCTTTCCTGACCCTAGATTTTACCTTGGGTTGGATCGTGATTCTCCCAGAAAAATCGGAGGAGCTTTTCATAGCTGATCTTCTGTGGGTCAAACACTACACGGACCACCTCCGCATGTCCCGTCATCCCTAGAAACAGAATGGAGAGAATCACCCAATGAGAGCTTCTTTTTTGAGCTTTGCAGTTGTTACAACTGGAAATCCGCCCAGTTGTTGAGCCTTCTGTCTTGCAAATTAAATTCTATGCTACAGAAGCATAGGTCATCCTTGAGCTATGAACATTCATTTAGCAGCCATATGAATTTACAGCAGCACTGGAAAAAGAGACTTACAGACATTCAGTTCTTGACGGAAGTGGTATTTAGCTGGTTCTGACCAGTTCTGGAGAACCGGTAGCAGAAATTTTGAGTAGTTCGGAGAACTGGCAAATACCATCTCTGACTGGCCCCGCCCCCATCTATTCTCCGCCTCCCATTGAGTCCCAGCTGATTGGCTGGGTCTTTTTTGGTTGCCCTGCACAGGAGAACGGAGCTGGAAAGCAGGTTTAGTGGGCTGGGGAGGGAATGGGGATTTTGCAGTATCCTCCCCCTGCCATGCCCACCAAGCCACACCATGCCCACCAAGCCACGCCCACAGGACCGGTAGTAAAAAAATATGAATCCCACCACTGATTAGTTTCCATCCATTCCTGCTGCTGCCTTGGAAAATAGCTTGACGTCCCCACCCGCCCTTCTTTGTGGCAGCCCCTCAAATATTGGAACACTGCTATCATGTCATCAAGCAGACCACCAGCTACTTCTTGGCATGCTTCCCGAAGCAGATAATATTCATACCTCAGTTTAAGAGCAGCACTGCAGGGGTTAATCCAGAGCCTTCATCCCGCTTGGAAACACTTGACACATTCCCATTAGATTAATATCTCCTGTCTAAAGGAGGAATTTCTCCTTTCACTGCTGAATCCTCATTCCCCCCGTGGAGTTTGAAATTCTCATCAGAGATGTATTCCCCTGGAGCGGTTTCTAGTTAATTTTGCTCAAGCAAGCCCGCTGACCCTCCTATGGTAATTAGGAGGGGAGAAAGGAAGGAAGGAGGAGGAGGAGGGAAGGGGTGACGTTCAATTCCACCGGCAACCAGGCAAGAAGCTGGTGAACATGCCATGCCTGCTGTGCTGGGCCCCGCTGCAGACCAGGAGAACAGGGCAGAGACGGGATGAACAGGCAGTATAAAAGAGAGACTGGCAGTGATTGAATAGGGTGAGAAGCAGGGGTGGGAATCTTGTACCGGCTGGCTTTCCTGCTACAAGAGAAGCAAAGAGGACAGGTGACCGAGCCCTGTTTGGGTCTCCCAACCACAATGCAGTGGAAGCGAGTAAGGCCATGTAGTTCTTGTCCCTCCACCCCACCCAGAGGTGGCATTCAGCAGGTTCTGACCAGTTCTAGAGAACCGGTAGCAGAAATTTTAAGTAGTTCGGAGAATTGGCAAATCCCACCTCTGACTGGCCCTGCCCCCATCTATTCTCTGCCTCCCATTGAGTCCCAGCTGATCGGCTGGGTCTTCTTTGGTTGCCCTGCACAGGAGAACGGAGCTGGAAAGCAGGTTAGTGGGGTGGGGAGGGAATGGAGATTTTGCAGTATATCCTTCCCCTGCCAGCCCCACCAAGCCACACCAGCCACACGCACCAAGCCACGCTCACAGAACCGATAGTAAAAAAAAAAATTGAATCCCACCCCTGACCTCACCCCAAATTCTACTGGAGATGTTTTCCTAGGCAGTGCTTTCCAAGTGGGCTGGAGTACCGAGCTCATAACACCCAGAACCTGGTAGTTGGATATGACCTTGGCCTAATAGTCCTGGCATCGCCTGTCGTCCAGAAAAGCTGAGGAACGTTCAGAATAAATAACAGAATAATGGAAATGGAAGAGACCTTAGAGGTCTTCTTAAAAATCTGTTCTTAAAAATCTCCAGTGATCTCCAGCACAACATAGGAGAACAAACCCATGAAGATTAGATTCAGCCGTCCATCTGCATTTAAAAGACACAGGCCACACTTTTGAAGACAACAAAGTCTTGGACAGAGAGGCCTCCTGGTTTGAAAGAGGGGTTAAAGAGGCCATCTATGTCAAAACTGAACAGCCCTCTCTCAACAGAAGGGGAGGGATACGGCATTATCTATCTCCAATCTACAACATAGTTCTTTCAACAGTTCCAAGAAGGCTCCACACCAATTTGCACCACTCAGGTGACCCGGATGACACAGATAAGCCTCCAGGTGGCCTCAACAAACCACTAAAAGGATGCAAATGACCAGCTGTCTGCAAGGAGTATAAATCCTTCCATTCTCCACCATCCAGTCAGAGCCAAAGAAGCTTCCTGGACGAGAAGCAAAATGTCTTCAAAGAAAAACCAGAAAGTCCAGCTGCCTCTTGAAAAAAACAAACAAAAAGCATCTTTGGGATAATCCTAACCTGGATGACTGAGAATCTCCACAGACCTCCAGTGATGGAGCACCCACATCTTCTGGAAGCAAGCTGTTCCACTGGCTAATTGTTCTCATTGTTGGTAAATTTGTCCTTAGTTGCTTCTCTCTTTGATTAATTTCCATTCATGTTCTACTAGGGCGGTCATTTGCAACAATACCAGTAGAGGGGAATATCTATAGCTCAGGATAGACCATAGAGTCCTTGGTGCTGTCTGAGCTTGGTTGCTCTCTCAGCTCAGTTCTCCAAGCAAGAAACCAACCAAGCTCTGGGAACACCAAGGACTCCACATCTGCAACAATAGCAGCCCCCAAGGCAGCCTGCTACAATCAGGTTCAAACACCCTAACTTGCACAGCTACATTATCTCTGCCCTCTGCTGCACTCAAGAGGGAATTGCATACCTGCGCGACAACTATCCCGTTACACTACTTTGAAAAGGAACTCCCAAGCGGCAGAAGAATCTGAAAGCAGGAAGGATGAGGTTCAAAAGGGAAGTGGGTCCAAAATTGAATATCTCCATCCCAAAACTGTTTGAACTAGATCAGAGGTCTCCAAGCCTGGCAACTTTTAAGACTTGTGTACTTCAACTCCCAGAATTCCTCAGCCAGCCTAGCATTCTGGAAGTTGAAGTCCACAAGTCTTAAAGTTGCCAAGTTTGGAGACCCCTGAACTAGATCATCTCCAGGTCCATTCGTGCAGAAAGTAAGGAAGATGATCTTGATGGAGATAAATAGGAACCCTTTCCCAGTCAAAAAGGGCTGGAACATTATTTATGCCCCAAACATCCAGATAACATTCAGAAGCAGGTCAGGAAGACAACCCCTTGATTCACAGGAGGAATCAGAAGGAAGAGGAGATTTAGCACAATCCAACCAGCAAATTCTGTTATTACCTCAATAAAATTAGTTTTAGCCTTCCTGGGTACTTGATTCTCTGGTTCTATTGGAGTGCTGGAACATTTAAATCCTCATGATATGATGCCAATCAAGATAGGAGACTTACCCATCAGGATGTCCCAAAGGAGCTTTTTCAAGAGGCAACTGGTCTTTTCTGGTTTTTCTTTGAAGATATTTCGCTTCTCGTTCAAGAAGCTCTGACTGGATGGTGGGGAATGGAAGGATTTATGCTCCTTGCAGACAGCTGGTCATTTGGATTCTTTAGTGCAGGGGTCTCCAACCTTAGTTACTTTAAGACTAGCAGCAAAGCTGGCTGAGGAACTCTGGGAGTTGAAGTCCGCTAGTCTTAAATTTGCTAAGGTTGGAGACCCCTGCTTTAGTGGGTCATTACCTGGAGGTTTATCTGTGTCATCAGGATCACCTCCAGGTGACTTAACAACCTTCTAAAAGAATGAAAATGACCAGCTGTCTGCAAGGAGTATGAATCCTTCCATTCCCCATCATCCAGTCAGAACTGAAGAAGCTTCTTGGATGAGAAGTGAAACTTCTTCAAAGAAAAAACAGAAAGTCCAATTGCCTCTTAAAAAAGCATCTTTGGGACAACCATGACCTGGAGGACTGAGAATCTCTATAGACATACCCATCAGGACAAGGGGAGGGGAGGGGCCAGGCAGGGGCATGATTTGCTGGTTCTCCAAACTGTGCCGAAACATAACAACCGGTTCTACAGAACCGGTCCAAACCGGTCGACTGCCACCCCCTGCTCGTGAGTCTCGTATGGACAAGCCCTCCGATCTCTTTCACAGAGAAAGAGATTCCACCCACCCAGAATTTTTCTCAAAAAGACTTACCGCTGCAGACTTCTTGGTAGGTAGGATTGGCAGTGAAGCCTCCTGAGAATCCCACCTGTGTGGAGAAGACCCCCGGCAGTTTCCAAAACATTTTTTCTGCTCCCCAGAAACATCCCATGCCTGGGAAGGAAGCAAAGAAAAAGAAAAGATGTCTTAATAAGTGAACCATTAAGGTGTTCTATGTCAGAGGTGTCTGACCTCAGCAACCTTAAGACTTGTGGACTTCAACTCCCAGAATTCCCCGGCTAGTTAGCCAGCCATGCAAGACGCAACAAGGCATCAACTACATTATTTCTCTGTTGCTGGTTCCAGAAATTTTACTTCCTCATTAAAATTACCATCCAGGATTATAGTCCCAAGTGACGGGGGGAAGGGGTGTAATTAAATCTGGCCGTGGGCAAATCATCACTCACCAAATATTGCCACTTGCATTCCTTCGGGAAATGGGGGATATGTCGGATTGTTGTTGACAGCATGGACAGCTGCAAAAAAACAGGGAAAAGAAAGTCATTAGAGGTAGTCTCAGTTAATGACCATCCCCATTCACTCAGTGACTGTGGAAACAGCACTGAACAAGAAACTTATGCCCATCCCCCAAACTGCAGCCTTCACGGGGTCCCTGCAGCCTTGTGCCTGCAATTTGGGTGCCTAGCAACCAGCTCGTCATTATGACGCATGCAGCATCCCATAGTCACATGACTTGCGACTTCGAAGGTTACAAAAGGGGATCATGTGACCCCAGGATTTTGCAACTATCATAAATATGACTGCTATTTGTCAGAAATGGTGTAGGGTCTCCAGCTTGGGTGGGGGCTTGGACTAGATGACCTACAAGGTCCCTTCCAACTCTGTTAACCTGTATCTGTTGTGATCAAGGAAGAACTAGTTCTTAAGGTGAAATGGAAGCTTATTTTATTCTGCCCTACAATAATAAAGTAAAAGAGAGACAGTTTGGTATAATGGCAAAGGCACCAGGATAGAAACCAGGAGAGTGTGAGTTCTAGTCCCACCATGGGCCAGTCCTTCTCTCTTGGCCCTAGGAAAGGGACAATGGCAAACCACTTTTGAGAAACCTAGCCAAGTAAATCACAGGGGCTAGTTCAGACAGTCACCAGAACTCAACACAGATATGAAAGCATCAAAAACAAAGCAGTCGCCTCAATAAATTAGCATTCCTTAGTGGTGCAGTGGTTAGAGTGCAGTACTGCAGGCCACTTCTGCTGACTATCGTCTGCCTGCAATTTTGCAGTTCAAATCCCACCAGGCTCAAGGGTGACATAGCTTTCCATCCTTCCAAGGTGGGTAAAATGAGTACCCAGATTGTCAGGGCCAATATGCTGACTCTGTAAAACTGTTTAAAGAGGGCTGTAAAGCACTATAAAGCGGTATATAAATCTAAATGATATTGCTATTGCTATTGCTATTCCTGGAATCCTTATGGTGTCTGTTTCCTGATCTGGCCTACTTGAAAAAGTTGACATCAATCTTGAAAGACTGCCAAGGTTCATCTTTTAAAGTCAAGGTGAGGTTCTTATGAATGTCTTCCTCTTGCTTTACATTTCCTAAGCCTGAATTCTTCTTCCTCTTGACAGCTCACTCATCCTTTCATCAAGGTTATTTCCTCATTCTCTTACAGCATCCCATCCAACATCTGGAGAGCCCTCTGAATAACAGTTTAATGCAATATAGATTATCCATGTATCTATCTGCCTCTCTGTGTCTCACACACAAACAAACAAACACTGCATTGTCAGAGTTGGGAAGATCTATTGATTGCAACAGTAAAGTGACTTTGTATAAAAAAGTGCAAGCATATACATCTGTATTTACCAGATATATATTTTATTCCTGTATTTTCTTGTATTGTTGAAACTGAAACACCAAATCAAACTTCACATTATCCTAATACAATGTTTCTCAACCTTCAGCAATTTTAAGATGGTTGGACTTCAACTCCTAAAATTCCTCTGCTACCTGGGGTCAGAGAATGACTGTTAGAAAGATCAATCAACTCTTCCTGCTAACCTACTTGAACATAAATTAGGTCTAGAACAGTGATGGGCTGCAATTTTTTTAACAACCCGTTCTCTGGCTGGGTAAGCGTGGCTGGTTGGTCATGTGACTGAGTGGGTGATGTCACTCATCACATTCAGCCCTGCCTCCCAGCCACTTGCCTCAAGGGAAGAGGTAGGGTTCAGCCAATTGGGGCTAATTCCACCACTGGCTGACCCCACCCCTGCCCATTTTTTGGCCTGTTTTGGGGCTTGAAAATGGCCATTTTTCGAGCCATTTTCAGCCATATTTTGGTCCAAAAATGCCCCCCAAAACAGGCTGAAAAATGGATAGGGGCAGGACCAGCCAATGGTAGGATTTGCCAGTTCGCTGAACTATTCCTAATCTTAACTACCGGTTCGGGAGAACCGGTGCGAACCGGCAGAAGCCCATCTCTGTTGTAGAAGGAAAACAATTTTAACTCCACAACTTTCTTCTCAATAAATATTGCTCAAGAGAAGTCCACGAGAATAGTAGAGTTTGAAAAAGAGTTAACTTTCAGGTTAGGCAAATACCAAATGACCTGACTTGAAATCTGCCTATGAATTTGTTCAGGCTTCTTTTTAAAAACTAAAGTGACCATTGCTCTATGTCGGGGGTCTTCAAACTTGACAGCTTTAAGACTTGTGGACTTCAACTCCCAGAATCCCTCCTCCAGTCCTGTTAGCCCAGGAATTCTGGGAGTTGAAGTCCACAAGTCTTAAACTTGCCAAATTTGAAGACCCTTGCTCTATGTGATGGCAGCAGCTTCTACAATTTAAGTCCATCTTGTGTAAAAAGTATTTTCTTATTTTTGGGTTATACATTTAGAGATAACCCTAACAGAGGGAATAATATCTCTACCTGCATTTTCCATACCATGTATGACTACAGGGAGTCTTTGTTTAGCAACTGCTTCGTTTAACAACCATTTGCAGTTTTAATGGTGCTGAAAAGGTAATTTTATGACCAATCCTTTTATTTATTAACTTTTGAAAGTCTGTAAGGCTGAAGTAAGCACAGTCTTGGTTTCATTTAGTGACTGGTGTGCTTAATGACAATTGCTGGTCCCAATTGTGGCCACTAACTGTGGCCATCTTTACGTACCTTTGAGTTTCTTCCTGTCTACCTCGGCTCTAAGCTACAGACAAACAATGCAGTCTTTCCTTTAACCCCTACAATCATTTCTGTTGCCTTTGCCTTCGATCTTAGAACATGCTTTTTCAAAAAGGATATTTCCCCTTCTTTTAGCTACACTGCAGTAAATCAGATCTCTGCTTGTGTTTCTTCTATATCTACAACTTCAAAATGGAGCCTGCTGGCTGCAGTGTCAAATAACGCTCCCTGAAACATTTTCTCATTTCTATTCAGATTTTTTAAAAAACAAACCTTCCGTTTACCTAATGAATTAATTTTCAGAAACCCAGACAAATTCAGGCTGAAGCATAATATCCCCCACCTGGGCGTGTCAATGATCCTGAGATATATATGTATATATATTTTAAAAAACACATTACACTATGATCAAAACATCAGAGATGGTTGACTGGGGGCACCCCAGGAAAGAAAAGGGAGCATCCAAGCACGGGGCTGGCTCATTTTCTTCAAATCCTTATTTAAGTTCAGCGAGACTGTAATTTCTTTGTCTCCCTGGATGTCTCACACCTACAAAGGCAATTGAGCACACCAGCAGCTCTAACGAAGAGCCTTCTTAGTGAGCAGCACGGCGAAGATCCTGGCAGGAATTCCTTCTTTCCCCAGGTCCATCTTAGAGCGAACAGCATCTTGTTCAAGCTTCCTTCACCCAGGAACTCCTTGCTAGCTTTAACCCGTCGTCCGCACCACACCCAACAAAGGTGGTTGGAAAAGCTGGCAACCAGCAAAGCTGCAGCGACGCTTCTGCCTCGCCTCCTTAAAGCCTCTGGATGCCCAGGACCAAAGACCAGATGCCAAAATGTCAGCGAGGTAGAGGCTGCCCTACGTTGGGCCAAAGAGCCATCTCAAGAGGATAGACACATGGCTACATCCCACATGCCGCACAGTTTGAGAAAGGAGACACGACAAAGCAGGCATCGGCTCTTGACTGTTTTTCCCCACAAATCTGCCACCCATGCCCACCCAACACCCCGTGCCAACCCCATCTTCATGAACTTTGGATGCAAAAGTTTCCTTTCGAAAACTAAACCAGACAAAGGAACCACAGTTAGCCCGGAGGTTTTCCTTACCTGTTCGGGGCTACCTGCCTCGAAGATTGAAAGGGGTCCCTGTGAAAAAAAGTCACATGGGGAATCCAGGGTCTCCCCTAACCAATATCCAAGAGAAGTCCAAAGGCACCACCGGAGGCCCGTATGGATCCGGTCGACGATTCCCTGCCAAGGTGGCGAGGCAACTTGGTAGCTGGCAGCCAAATCCTGCTACCCTCTTCCTCCTTCCCCCTTCTTCCAGGCAAGATAGCAGTCAACATTATTTCCTTGGCCCAGATTCAAATCAATCAGCACAGGAACTGCTTCGCTCCCTAAACGCAACTCTCTGCATTTGGTATCCATGTGCTACATAAAGAACATCCAATAACCGCAAGAAAAGGAGAGAGAAAAAAAATCAAAGGAAAAGATGGAAGCAATTTGCCATATTAAAAAGAAAACAAACAGGTGCCCAGATCAAGGATCTGCGATTCATTCTGTTCCCCTAACCCACCCCCTGGTTTTCAGCATTTCTCTTCCGAAATATACATTACCATGTGTGTGTTCGTCCAGCTTTCTATGGAATCTCTGCCAAGCAGCCTTGGCAAACCTCCAGCCTGTGCCAGTTTTATTCTCTCCCTCCCTCTCTCCCTCTGTCTCACGGCTTCCCTGCCAACCTTCATCCCAACGGCCGTGATCCTCTCTCTCTCTCTCGCATGCGCCCTTTCCCTTTGCTGCTTGTAGGAACCCAGAAACCGAGCCAAAAACGAGAAAGACAATATTGGACAATCTGAACGTTCGTAGACAGTACTGTAGTTTTATTTTCCTCCTCCCACCCACCACCCACCCCCCAAAAAAGGATGAATAGGGAGAAAGAGGGAAGAAGAGAAGAAAGAATAGAGTCCAAATAAAAGCTTACCCCCTTGGGTAGGCGGTTCTTGGTTCCCTTCGGGACTAAGACCCACTTGGGGTTTTTTGGGATGCCCGCCCCATGCCCTCTGACTGCAGGAGGCTCAGGGATACCAGGAAGGGGATGGAGTAAGTCAGACCATACATGCCCAGGAGGCTACTGTCGGAAGGCTGGAGTTTTTCCCTCTCCAAATGGTGCCAAGTTCTTCCCACCCTTCTGCCATCAAAAGAATGGGCAGCATAACAACCCCTTGTTTTTTATATATATATATGGCATCAGCTTGCCGAGGTACAATGCATCATGGGACAGGAAGGAAGAAGGAAGGAGGCAGAGGGAACAAACGTACCTTTAGAGATGCCAA